TATACTATATATATATATATATATATATATATATATATAGGCAACAACAACAGCAAAAGACGAAGAAAAAATGGCAACCCCATCTCGGCAGCGAATTCGTGGGGCCTCTTTTAAACAGGAGTATCAGTCCGTTGTTGCACGAAGGCCTCGTCAACGTGCACCTTCAATGAATCAGGAACTTAATAGCAAATGGGTTCTTCCTGAACAGGAACCGAAATTTCGAGGGAAGCTGACTTTAGCTCTTGATCTTGATGAGACTTTGGTATATGCAAGAGAGGGACCTCTCTACGCTCGCCCTGGTTTGGATGATCTTTTCAAGCTTTGTAAAGCGAAAAGCGTTGAGGTCGTTGTTTGGACGGCAGGTCTTCGAGCGTATGCCCAAGCAATTATAAGAAATATTGACAAGGAAAGGGTAATATGTCATTGTATATACCGTCACAGCAAATGGTTTACGGGTTACGCAGGGTATCAAAAGGATCTGTCAGCTCTTGGAAGACCTCTCGACAGAGTGCTTATTATTGAGAATACACCGGATTGTATTCGAGGATATCAACAGAACGGTATTCTTGTGGAAGACTATGAAGGTGGTGAATCTCCTGATAATACTATTCCCGCTCTTATAGACCTCGTTCGAAACCTTTGCGATAGTTCAATGACTGTGCCTCAATTTGTTTCTTCTTGCCCTATGCTTAGGCAGGCCTCCATTCAGACGGATCTTGGAGATTTTATCAATGTTTATAAATTGGATGTGGCGGTTTGGACGCCGGGTGAACATGTTCGTATCAATCGTGATTTGGACCCGATGGCGGGGCAGGCGGCACAATGCGAGTCGCATATTCAAAATGAGGTAGCTAGAACTGGCACAGCTGGAATGCGCTAATGAGGCATAGATGATGGGAAGTGCCAATGTAGCGTGAATGCAAGCTCTCCTTTTTGTTTCATAGCTTTTCCGGCAGTAATGGTGATAGCATTGGTAGTATATGGGACACCTGGATGCATTAGTATACCTTGTCTAATATTCTCTATGTTACAAAAATTGAGGAAAAAATAAGGAAGCAAATACAGGAAGATCAAACACGCAAAAGTAAGTGATCGAAGGGGGGAAAAGAGTGGAAGTGAGACAAAGCAACTCATGTATTTTAGGTGCTATCCACAGTGGTGCTAAGGATTATGCCTTTAGCTGTATTTACGAGTGTTTTTCCGTGAATTGATGAAACAAAAGGATTATGGGAGGTTCATTTTACTCCGATAATGTTTTTGTTGTGGTTTCGTGGTATCAATATCTTTTTTCCTTTTTTATTGTCTGTTGAGGGCAGGAATGCTGATTGCAAACGTGACGGAAGGAGGGCCAGGAAAAGGAAAAAAAAAGAAACGAAAAAAGATTTAGATGACAAAACTAATCTTGTGTTTCGTTTTGTTGTTTTTTTATTATTATTTTCTTTTTTCTGACTGAATGGACCGAGATTATGTTAATACCATAGTTTTGGGCATGATTTCTTTATCTCTCTTTTTTTTTTTGATTGGTTGTATAGATGCCTTGCCCGTTGTACTGTTACATACAGCTTTCACCTTCCTCTTTATATTGCTGAATTTATTGGATCTCCTTTACCTTTGTGTTGATCTTCGAGAACTGGTCTTTTGAAGAATTCACTGTGAAGAACAGCAGGGTTATGCGTTGTTTTGTTTACAGTTTTTTTAAAAAAAAACGCCTGTGCTGAATGACGTTTGACAAGGTCGAAGCGTCTTTCTTGTTATTGGATGAATTTTACTCACCCGTTTTGGGGTTGCGCAGCGTCTTAGAACGGTAAGTATATTGTTCCGGTGATTATTCTCCTCGTATGTATTTATTGGCTTACTTTGTGGTTATTATTATTATTATTATTTTTCATTATTTTCATTATTATGATTATTATCAGTTTTTTTTTTTTTTTGTTTTTTTTTGGGGGTTGATAGTGGTGGTAGGAGTGGGGGGGGGAGTCCATCTTCGTTCAAGGTCACCATATTAGGTGAAAGCTCAACGTGCCACACCAACCAAAGAAGCTAGGAAAACGGAGGGAATAGCCCAAGCATTTTTACTTCAAACATATTTAATGTATCAATCCCTTTGAGGAGGGGTCTTATGGTGCATATATTTTTATGCTATTGGTTTTCGCTTTGGTGTTTGTGGTAGTAGAGATCAATGGGTGGTGGTACCATGGATTCTTATTATTATTATTTCCCCACAATAACAAAATCGTGGTAATTGTGACTTGGTGTTGAAATATGGACGGATGCATTATTTTTGTTGGATGAAGCGTTGGTTTAATTTTTTATAAGCTGTGTATATGAGTGCATGTATGCTTACACATGATGGATTTTTTTATGTTAATGTAACGGAGTAATTGGATTCTCCTAAACAGAGTCTATGAAGCTTGGTTGAAACATGGGGCTATATATGTTTATGTCGTGTGTGTTTTTAAAAGGAATAAAAAGAAATTGATGTTATTATCGTTACAGTTTTATTATTATATTCTTTTTTTTTTGTTTTTGTGTTTTATTTTCTTTCTCTCTAATTGCTTATATAGATATATATTATTATTATTATTTATTTATTATTATTATTCCTGGTTGATACATAACTGTTGAATGGGCGCGTTCCATGTAAGGGCTGAACACTTTTCCACTGTCGTCGTAGTTGAAAAATCCCGAAAGGGTCCAGCAGCTGTTGTTCCAATAGTGATGACCTTGAGAGGAAGGAAGTTTATCCCGATATTACTACTATTTATTTTTTTGTGCGTATGTGTGTGGGTGTTTTTTTTTTATTATTTGGTACTGTGTCCTGATATTTTTCATTTAATTATTATTATTGTTACGAAGCGTAGAAGTTTCCACCGATTGATGAGCGGTGAACAACTCGACGTGGGCCAGCATCCCTCGGATAGTAATGTTGACATTGACTGGGTGACTCTTGCTGAACTTCCTTTTGATGAGTGGGAGCGTGCACAGCACATTCCTGCTCTCAATACATGGATTCAGAGAGCGTCCAAAATGACGTGGAACGTGGATGATGAACATTTTTCCCTGCCACACTACACAATCGCTATTATTCGTTTGCTGCGTCTAATTTCGGTTGATTCTCAGCGCAGTTTAGAACGCCTTCAACGAGAAAAGGAGGAGCTTGAGCGTGCTGTGTCTGCCGCTCGGGATGCCGAGGAGGCTTTTCGGGCTCATGTAGAGCTACTGCAGAGGGAAAATAGTGAGCTTCGCGTGGTAACTAAGAAGCGGTTTACCGAGGGTGAGGCAAGAGAATCAGATTATCCTCTTAATCGAGACTCCGGAGCAGAAAGGATGCGTACCAAAGAAAAATTGGAGAGGTCTGCACAAGAATTGGCTCGTTTGAAACAAGAAAACAATGAACTATGTCATGCCGTTAAACATTTGAATGCAGAAAAGCAGCACATTCTTAGTGAGGATAAAAAGTTTCGTCTCGAATATGAGCATCTTGCCGCAAAACACAAGCGGCTTATAGAAAGTGCTAAAAAGACCGATGAGATGTTGCGGGAATTTCAGCGTTCAGAAAAGGCGAGGGAACGAGATGATGAAAGTGAACTGCATCGACTGCGTCGTAAAGTGCGAACTCTTCAGCAGGAAAATTGCGAGCTGCTTCAGTCACGTGACCGTGCTGAGGAGCTTTGTGAAAGGCGGGAGGCAGAAGCATTACGTGACATGTCGGAGCTGCAGCAGCTGCACCATGATATCGTGGAGGAAGAAAAGCAACGTTCCCAAGGCTTAGCGATGGAGTTGCAAAAAGTCCGCCATGAGAGTCAAAGGCGCATGGAAGAAACCGTTCAGGGACTTAAACAGTCGTTAAATGAATTGGAGAAAGAAAATTGCACTATGCGAAAACGGTTAGAACGACGCTTCGTGGTAGGGCATCCCTCTAAGCGTGACACCACTGAGCACAGCGCGGCCGTTGAGCAAAATTCATTATCTAGCAGCGCAAGTGTGTCGTCTTTATTACCAAACGGCTCTCCTTATTCTAAACTTGAGTCCGACAACTGCACCCGACAAAAGTTGTTGGCAGACCGACAGCGACTGCAACAAGAGAATGATCGACTCACAGCGGAGTTGCAACAGGTGGAAATTCGAGCTGAATCGCAAGATGCGGAAATTATCAAAATTCAACATCTTTTGAAGGAGTACGAGCGCGGTGATGAAGGGCTTCATCGCCTGCGCGGCGACTTGGCTGAGTCTAACCGATCCATAGAGCTTCTTCAAGATGAAAATGTACAACTGCGCGAGCGACTTAACGCAATGGAGGATACTTTAACCTTTTCTACTGCCCTCCAGGAGTTGTGTATCCGCATTGGCGTTACACAAGAGGAAATTGATCGTCTTCGGCCAAATAACACACCACTCTTTAGTGAGGTGGAGACGCTACGCGAAGAGGTCACTATCTTAAAGGATGAGGTGGAGTGGCTGGAAAAGGAGCGTCGGCATTGGATGGACAAGGTTCGTTTGCAGCCGCTTCTTGACACAAAGCTTCGGCTTGAGTTGGGCCTTTCACCGGAACAGCTGAAGCAGCTGGATCACATGGTAGATCAGATGAGGTCAGGAAGACTCATTGTTGAAGAGGACGGGGAGGACAATTACAAGGAAAGGTACTTTCACGAACTCCAGCTTCGGCGAAAGGAGATGGAGCATTTTAACGACTTTGTCCGCCACCGAATTGAGGAGGCGCTGCAAGACGCGCTTGGAAAAATTGATATGAACTCGGCCTCTGACGCAGCTTTAGCGCTGCATGCTCTGCGGGAGCGTTTTGACTTCATCACTGCCCGTCCACTAATGGACTCGACAGAAGAGCCTTCATTAGATGCCACACAGTTGCGTATGCAGCTTCGAAGTGCAGCCCAACTTCTGGAGCAGTCGGAGCTTACTATAAAGGATGATGCCGCCTCTCGAGCGATGCTGCGTGAACAATTGGCAGCTGTCACAGCAGAGCGAGACATGTTGATGGAAGAAAGAGATAGATACCGTACCGCAGTTTTTGAGGCACTAGGGATTACACCGTCCTCTGTACCCACTGTTGAAAAATATGAATTAAATGCGGAAAATTTGGCGTCACCTTCGGAGCCCGCTCCTGTTTCAGGGGTTGCCATTGAAGTCCCCCCGCCACTGGCGTTGACTGAAACGCAAAATGATGTGGCTGCCCCGCGGCGTCTCCCCTTTGGCTCTATCTCACGCACTTTTGAGGAACAACTGCGGGCAAAGGACGAGCTCATTGCTTCCCTCAAAGCCGCCATTGAGGCGACGAAGGAGGAGGTGACGCAGCACCAGGCGGCGGAAATGAAAGCCACAGAGCGACTCTCAGAGGCGTGTGCGGTGCAGGAGGACCTCCGGAATCAGGTCACTGCCTTGCAGCAAATAAACGAGGAACTTGGCGGAAAACTGGAGGAGAGAACGAAGGTGCTGAAGGACCTTCAGGAAACGGTGCATCACCTCGAGTCTGACAGCACCCGTCAACTTCTTCAGAAGGTAGTTGTTCTGCGACAACGTGAAGGCAAATTATTAGAGCGTTTGCGTCGTGTGCGAGAGACACAAGAAGAGGCGGTGCGGTCAGAGCAGACGATGCGGGAATATGTCAATACCACCTTCAAGTCGCTGAAGGAGGCGTTGGAGGATACTTCTACCGGTTTTGTTCTCCCACGTTCTTCCAGCGTGATATGCGTCGAGAAGGACCTTATTGACGACGTTTGGCAGCGGCTTGACGGGGTGTTGCGAGGAAAACTCTTTAAGGAGGACTCTGCGTACCTCCTTCAGCTGTGCCAGGTCTACCGCAACGTCGAGCACACGGAACAACTGAACACCTTAAGAGTCGATGAGAAACGTCGACAAAAGCTGGTAGAAGAAATGACATTGGAAATAAATGAATTGCGCACCGAGTTGGAGAGCCTCCGGAAAGTGCATGGCACGATTCCAGGGACGCAGGGTGGTGACGCCTCGCTGGCCGCAAAGTGGGAAACGGAGGCCACCACGTGGCGTCAGAAATGTAGTCTCTACATGAAGCGTTGCGAGGACAGGGAGCGAGAGGTGTCCACACTTGAGGCCGAAATTGGCGAGGCCCGGGCGGAGTTGGCGTTGTTGCAGGAACACCTGCACGGCAACAGTTGCGGCAGTGAAGCCGGTACGATTCATTGTGTCACACGGTCGGTAGAAGTTCCTCCGCAGCCACAGCCACAACAACAACAAGAGGAGGAAGAAGGGTCACCACCGCAAGCGCCAGAGCAACCACAACAACAACAACAATTGCAGCTCCAGAAGAAACCTGAAATGAAACGAGTTGCCCGCGGCATCACGGCGGATAGCAACGTGCGGCAGCTAGAACGCGATGTTGCTCGTCTGAAGTCTATCAATTTGGGGCTCTTGCATCACTCTCTCGATTTACAAGGAGAATACAAGCGTATTGAGATTCAGCTGGAGGCTGCAAAGCAGGAGCTCTCGCTGGTGCGAGATGCGGGAGATTCGCGAAAAGTGAGCGAGTTTGTCTCCGCTGCCATTCAGCAACACGCAGCGTTGCGCCGGCAGAGTGAGTTGGCATTGCTTCGAGCAAAACGGTCTCGAATGCAGCTCACTGCCACAGAGGCCAATCTGCGTGTAGCTATGAAGGAGGCTACCTCATACAGGCTTAGTGCATTTCGCCTTTACCGGACTTATGTTTCACAGATGGTCTCAGTTTTGGACTATGTTCGTGGCCTGCAGCGAGGCATTAAAGGGGCCATGTCCCCGCATCGTGTGGCGATGATGCACCAACGTTTTCTTAACGCCATGGCGGATATTGAGCGCAGCCAGACTCAGCAACATGAGATGGCGGCAAGGCTCGTTGAGAGTGGCGGAATGGTGAGTCTTCTGCAGCAGCAATTGGAGCTTCTCAAGAACAAGGATACCGAGGAGCGCGAGGATGTACTCCACGCCAAATTGTTGTCGTCACTTGCTGCGGTTCGCGAGAAGGACATGCGGCTTGTAGAGCTGCAGGAGGATTATCAGTACGTGCAGCAAAAGTTGAAAAGGGCGGAGTCGCACATACAGCAGTTGACCGAGGAATTGACCCGGCTGGAGTTGCGGGCAACAGGTGGTGTCTCACTTAATGAAGACATCTTGCAGCGGCTCTTGCAATTAAAAGAAACGGTCTTTGCAAAGGCGGAGTCGCCGGCGCTTGTTATGCAATCAAGTGGAGGTGAACTGCGTGACATGGAAGAGAGGGACACCGATGCCGCAATTCGAGAGTACAAAACGGCTCTTGACAAACAGGCTGAATTGACACGGGAATGTGGCTCACTTAAGAAGCGACTGGATGGCGAAGTCGCGGAAGCCCAGAAAGCCCGTGCTGAGGCAGAGTCCATGAAGGAGGAAATGAGTCGCCTGCAAGGACGTCTGCAGTACACGCAGCGGCAGTTGGAAGAAGAGCGTCAAAAAGCTGAGGAGCGCGAGCGGCGAATTGTACGATCCCACGAGGCGCAAGCTGAAGTAACGCGTCGTGCCGCAGAGCACAACAGTCATTGCCTTCGGGACATGTTGCAGAATAAGGAAGCGTGTATAAAACAACTTCAGGACCAGCTGCAAGTGGAGCGAAGGAAGTATCTTGAATACCAGCTTGAGGAATCCTCACGCATGGAGCGATTACACGATCATCTTTTTAAAGAGAATAATGCCATGATGGAGCGCTTCCGCGAGGCAATTGACGGCGTGACGGAAAACTACACTTACAACACAACGGGACAAGGGGCATCTATGAGTGACGCATCACCTGATGGAGTTGCGGCGCAGCTTGCACTGCTCACGAAAGAGACACTGCGTCTAAACGCCGAATTGAAGGATGCACGCACGACAAACATTATGCTTGAGGCTCAGCTAAACGATCAGGTCGCAAAGGCGCAGAATCAGCTGCTGCAGCAAGGTTCCACTCCCAGTACCCAGCAGGTGCCACAGCGGGAGCACCCAGGTGAGGCTTCTGTTGTTGGAGTCATTACTGACCAGAATGCCATTATCGAGAGCTTGCGGCAGCGAGAGTTTTCTCTCACCCGTGAGATGCAGCGGTATAGGAATGAGCGAGACTTGATGGAGCGGCAGCTGCACGAGGTCCGTCAGCTTGTTGTGGAGCAGGGTGGGGTACTGAAAAGCGTCGCTACTGTGGGAATGGCGGATCCGTCGGTGGAACAAGAATTACGGGCTCAGCTGACCTTTGTGGAGAGCCAGCTCTCGGAGACGCGGGCGCAGCTGGAGCAGGAGCGGCAAAGTGCACGCCAGTTACAGGCAGATACGAGCCAATGGCGATCGCATCTTGACGTTTTACGTGAGGAGGTTGTGCGGCAGCAGGCTGACGTTGAGCGGGCTCGGCACCTTGTCACCATGAACGAGGGCCTTAACGCAGACATGCGTCGGATGGAGGAGCAGAACGAGAAGCTCATCCTGGCAACCAAAATGCTGAAGGAAAAGCTGATTGAACAGGCACAGCAACACGGGGACGACTCCCGCAGACAGCAACACGAACTTGCGTTGGCGCAGCGGATGGGCTCGATTCAGTTGGAATCCACGGAACAGCTGAAGGCTGTGAACGAACGGTTGCACGCGATGCAACGGGAGCTTGAGGATAAGGTCCATCGGGAGGAGGAGGCTCTCAGAAAACATGAGGAGGCGCAGCGGATGGCCTATGACCTGCACCAACAGCTGCAGGAGCGGGAACACGAGATTTTGCGTCTCAAGCGCGAGTTGGCTGCTCGTCCTGCGTCGCCGCCGGCAGTGCGGGGTGGCCGTGAAAAAGGAACTCAAGTCCTGCAGACTGTGCAAGAGGGGAAACAGGTGCTTCCTGAGAAGGCGGTAGCGGTAGTGACTCCTCCGCAACCCGAAATTGCAGAGAAGCAAGACAAGGAAAAACCGCAGACGCGGCCAACGTCACGTTCCCCCTCCGCCCCTACACGTGGATTGCTTGTGGACGTTGACGCGAATGTTCTTGCCAAACCTCAGATAGCAGCAATACTGCGGCGAGAGATCGAGAAGGCACAGCGAGACAACATGCACGACATCTCCTCGTTGCGGGCGGATGTGCGCCGCTTAGAAAGCGATTTGGAGGAGGCTCGCCAACAGCTGCGTGGCGAGCGCGATAAGAGTCGCTCTCTGCGTGTCATGGTTCAAAATGTCCGACGTGGACTGGAGGAAAAGGAGCTTGCCATGGCACGAGAATCCGTGAGTCAACAGAAACGCGCCAAGGAGCGTCAGCAGGTTGAAGGCATATCCGGAATAGGTTCAGGTGAAATCCCTCTCACAGATCCTACCGCGGTCGCTGTCCCAATGCCAACCACAGCCGCTATAGGTGAGCAGGGTGAGCTGCAGCGTCAACGGGAAACGAATGAGCAACTCAGACGTCAGGTTGAGCGACTAAAGAAGCGCGTGGTATCGTTTGACAGTGTTGCCAACGAGGCAGAGGTGTACAAGAAGGAGCTGGCAGAGCTGCGTTCCCAGCAGCTGGTGTCGGTGGATGCGGTTAATATGGCCTCCCCACTCGATATACTTTCCCACAAGCGGATCGTTCTCCATTTAGAGAGCGTTATTGACTCCCTTCGACACGAGCTAAGCGTCAACAAGGAGACGCAGCTGCGCAACCTGCAGCGCCGCGCCGATGAGTTGACGGCGGAGAACCAGCGCTTGACAGCAGAGTTGGGTGGTCGCCGTCAGGTCACACCCACGCTGCAACCCTCGACGACAACGACGTTTGGGGCGGAGAATGTAAATGATCGTGCAACACTGGAACGGGAGTTACTGGAAAAGAACGGCATCATTCTGGACCTTCGTTTCGAGCGTGAGGCACTGCAACTGAAGGTTGGGCGTCTGGAGCGTCACATCGAGGACATCCTTCGGGTGAACTCGGCCAACAGGAAACGCACGGAAACCTTTCAGCAGCGGAGCCGCGTGGAGGCGTTGGAGTCTGTCGTGGAGAACCTAAAGCTTGTGGTGGGACGTCTTCAGAAGGAGAACGATGTGTTGAAGACAAAGACAGTGAGTATGTCAAAGCACATGGATCTTGTGCGGGAGCTGCGGGGGCTGCGGCTGAGTGAGCAGAAGCTTCGCGAGCATTCTGAAATGCTGGCAAAACGTCTATTGGATACCGCGCCTAGTGGAAGCGCCATGTCGCGGCAACATGCAACGCTTCAGCGGAGGCTGCAGACAGCCCAGGCCACCATGGAGCAGTATGAGGCGGAAATGCTTGAACTCAGACAAAAGCTTAATGAACGTCAAGGTGTGGTGCAAAATGAGGAGACTATGCTATCGGGGCAGATGGACCAGGAGACGACGCCAGAATGGGAAGATCGTCGCATGGTCCAGCCAGTACAGACATGGTCTTCGGGCCTGCCCCCACCTTCACCCAACCCGCCAGTGACTTTCAATGCGGGACTTTCTTCCAGTCATCGCGCATCTCCCCCATGCATAAGATGACACCTCGGGGTGTGCGACCTCCCCTATTCGTGTTAAATGCACGACTGAAGAAGTTCCTGGGCATCTCGTATGTCTTCCTTGCGTCTTACGTTTTCTCCCCTTTCTACCTAGTCACGCGTTACATCCCTTTTGTACTCGTTGTTATTGGTGTTTTTGATGGTGTGTGTGCGCAGATGGTGATGGTGATGGAGGCGGATGGGTTATTCGATGGAAAGAGCGACGGCGCAAATGGGTCTGTGTTGCTGTTGCATTGTCCCTCCTTTTCTCCATACATCGATGTATACGCGTATTCCCCAATGTGTGTGTTTCCTGTCTATGTACAGATGGATAAATTTATAAATTTACCTTTCTTTTTTATTGCCTCTCGTTGCTGTTTTTTTCTTGAATGCAACAATGTCGGTAACTACAATAAAGTGACGTCAAAAGAAAACAAAAACAAACTAAAAACGATGCCAGTGCAACGCATTAACTTTGGCGATCTTAACGATGGCATTGATTGGGTGAACGCTCTCCCTCCTCATGTCCTTGCACAGCAGCATGTTAATCAGGCGCTACGCCTGGTACACGATCCGCTCTCCTTTATGTTGGCGTGGCCTATTCCGGAAGACAGCTTTCCTGTCCCTCGGGCGATACAACTGAGACGAGAGGCTGAAGCTCGTGGCACGGCCTTTCGGAGTCGACGTGGCCTTGTGAACGCGCGAGCAGAGGCGGCTCAAGGGCAATGGGATCAAGCGCAGCAGGGTCAGATGGTTCCGCGCAACAATCCGAGCTCGGAATCTGCAAATCGGCGGTTGGCTCCGGAAAGAATTGTTTCTCAGCCACGGTCACAACAGATGCAGCGACATACTCCCCGTTTGGCGAATGCCGAGTCTTCTTCTGCTCGTTTGGCGCCCTCTGGGATGGATTCAGATATTTACCAGGCTCTCTCATACTTCGGTGGAATAATGAACGCAGACCTTGACCCGGATGATTACGGAACAAGTTCCGCAATTGCGTTTAGTGGAGAGAGTTTGCATGTGTCCTCGGCGAGTGGGGCAGGAGGCGCTAGTGGAAGTCCCACCTATACTCGAGTTGCGGTGTCCGTGCAGGTACCAGCAGCTGCAGCACCTCGGATTACTGCGCATGTGGAGAGGGGGGTGGTGCAGCCCCGCCATCACTCCCAGCGAAACAGAAGCGGTGTTGGATATGACATCATTACGGGATACGGGGGGGAGTTACCTGTCCAACAAGCTGCGCCATACCAAACCGGAGGGTCACGTGGGGGAAACCACGGTGTTTGGGAGATTGATGATTTTTCTTTTGAAAACCTGCTACGGCTTGACGAAGGAAACAAGTCTGCCGGTCTTTCTTTACAGCAGATTCGTGGGATGAGGCCTGTTTCCTATGCCAGTGTGAAACCAAATAAGGACAGTAAGCGAGACTCAGGGAGAGCATCTCTGAAAAATGAGGAAACGTGCGCAATCTGCCTAGAGGAGTACTCACCTGGAACAATGGTTTTTAAGATTGGATGTGGGCACATATTTCATCACGGCTGCATTGTAAAATGGTTGAAGGAAAGTAACCGGTGTCCCACATGCCGATACGAGATTCCACGCATACGAGAAAGGGGACTATGAGGGGGGAGGGGGGAGGGGGAAAGGAAAAGAAAAAGAGGTCGACGTTTCCACATTTTTTTTTTTTTTTTTAATTTGGACGAAGGTCAGCTCTTATTTAGTGTTTTTATGTTTGCTAGCATACCATTGTTTTTTTTTTTCTTTGTGTGTGTGTGTGCGCGTGTGTGTCTGTATATTCCTTCTTTGTAGTTGCTTACTGCGTGTTTTCTGTTATTGCTGGCTTCCATTTTGTCTTGGCAGAAGCGGAGTGGGCATGTCTGTTTCTCCGGGGTACTCGTAAGACGCATTCGACGCCATCCAGGAGCACGGAAGGATGAATAATAAAAAAAAGGGGGGGAGGGGGGGGATAGTGAAAACTGATAATAGTGAACAGAGGAGAAAAAAAGGCGTGTAAAATTGTCGTGGTGTTCCCCCATGTATACACCGGTGGCCTCTCCTCTCCCCCTTTCTGCCATCCTTCACCTATTACTTACCCGCTTGAACTATATATATATATATATATATATAGTATGTACACACGTCTCTACGCGTTTCCTGCGCGACATGTTTTTTTTTTATTATTATTATCATTCAGTTGTGTGTTTACATGTTTGCTTCTTCTTTGCTTTGCTCTACTGTTTGTAATGTTTTCCCGCCCCCCTTCTCTCGCGTACAATCTGCTCACTGCGTCTCCCCTGCACACAACCCCCTTTGTTTTTTTTTATTATTATTTGTACGTTGTTGATGTTTGTTTTCTTCCTTTCGCCGCAGGAAGTGCATTCCAGTGTAATTAGAAGAAAAAAAAGAATAGGGCAGACAGGGCAATAGCAGGCATGAGTGCATTCTTTGACTTTGAGGCCATCGCCTATGTGCTGCTTCTACTCATCTGCACGGCGACATACCTGCGGCAATACCGGCCCACGCTGTTTCATCGTGACCATAAGGAGCTCCATCGCAAGTTGATGTACAAGTGTAGTGTCATTGGCGACAGACTTTCCTTATGGGTGGCGCTTGGCTGCATTGTCATTGCAGTGAGGATGCTTTTTGTGTACTGAATCTACTGGCGGAGGGAAAAATAAGCGGGGTGAGGGAGACGTTGTAGTTGACTCTCCGTATTTATCTACGCAGGTGGATGGGGTAGCAAATGTATTTTTGTTCTTGTCGTTGTGATGGACACTGCGCTTTTTACGTGCAGCAGCTAGACAATTTCTGTTTCTCCACGTCTGGATTCGGTTGGGCGGCTTTGACACTCATTGTATTCACTTTTGCGGTGCTTGGAAGAAGTGCCTCCTGGCGGTTGGTAGCAGCTGCGCCTTATTTTACGTAATAGTTGCTTGCTGGCTGTTGGTGGTGGTGGTGTTGCCGCTGTTGATGCCTTTTGTGTTAATTTTTACATGCCCCCGCCATCTGTGGGCCCTCTTGGCCGCTTCCCTGCTTTGCAGAGGCATGGAAATCGCGCTACTTACTCCTTCCAGCATTGTTTTTTTTTTTTTGCGTTTGTTTTGTCTGTGGCAAGAGGGGAAGCATTTACACCTAGACACACAGGCAGCTTCATAGATACGAAGCAAAGGAGGTGTGTCGTTTGCCCCTTAGGAGACGGTGACGTCCGTTCTGACGCATCCTGGCCGAAGTAGGAATAGAAGAGCGGGTGAAAAGAACAACACGGAAACAAAAACAACAACAACAATAGTGAGAAGGGGAGATGCGCATGCGTTCCTCACACGTGCTGCGGTCCGCAATGCGTCGGACAGCCGCGCTGTTGACCATCAGCGATGAGTATATTCCGTATGCCTTTCCGGTGAAGTCCACAATCGGTTTAGCGGGTGTTACAGTAAAACCACTATGGAAGCCGAAGCTTCTTGCCGCGTTAGCAGAGTTGTAGGCGTTCTTGACCGCCTCTGACATCCCACCAAAGTCGACATACTACAAGATTGTCATGACGCTTGTAAAGCGCATCAACCACGGCGTGAAGGAGTGCCAGGATGACTGGTGCACCCTGGAGAAGCGTTACTTTTGGGGGTAGCCTGTGGAGTATATTCTTCAGATGGCGCAAAAGTGGAACGAGTGGCTTTTTTGGGGGCTGGACCCCGAGCAGGTAAAGAAGGCTGCGCGGGAAGACCAGAATATCGGCAGAGAGGGACTTGGCTACAACAGTCCCTGGGAACAAGTGGTGCGGGAGGACTTTGACAAGCGCAAGAAGGCGCTCACGTAGTAGGAAATGGCGCAGCTGAAGCGCATGGCGCGAGAGACCACAGCGTACAAGGAGCACAAGGACTACATTCGTGATGACTTTGGAAAAGGTACGCGGTGACATGCTGAAGAAGTTTCTAAATAAACGCTTCGCTGTGAACAAGAATCTCAAGCGCATGCAGCCAGGCGCGCGTTACAGTGGGAAGACGTCAGACGACCTCATCGCCGAGCTCAAGTCCTCGGTGCAGAACAATCCACAGAAGCCGGAAACAAAAAAAAATAAGACTTAACCTCGCCGCTTCTATCAGCATCTTGTGGTGTATCTTAATTTCTTTTTTTATTTGTTGTTATTTTTTTCTCTCCTTTTCTTCGGTAATATTTATTTGCTTTCCGGGGAGGGGGTGGGGGGTTGCTGTGCGCCCATTAAGCTGCATGTAAACCGACGTTCACCGCGTTTGTGTGTGTGGGGTCGCCGTGTTGATGCGAAACTGAAAGAAGAAATAAAACATGGTGACAACGGTGACAAGTTCGGGGTGAGCGATGGAGACTGGAGACTTCTTCTTCCCCTCTTCCAAAAAATAACAATAGAAAAAAATGGGTTGTAGGCGGGGAATATGAGAAAATGGCATGGAGGGTGAAGATGGGCCAAGCGACGGGATGTGGGTTTGGTTGTGGGGTGAGGCAGGGTAGGGTAGGGTAGGGTAGGGCGTGCTTGCCTCTGGGTGGGGTGAGGTGAGTGTAGGTAGTAAGCACATGGGCAAAGCGGTGAGTGATGAAGGAAGGGGCGAGTGAGGCAGTGAGTAATATATATATATATATATATATATATATATGGAAATTGCGTGTGTGTTTTTGACAAGACACAACGAAACGGATTTTGTACGTCCATGTTTACCGGTGGTGCGATAGTTTTTTTTTTTTTGTTGTTGTTGTTTTTTCGTTGCGGTGGTGCATTAGCCTCGACGAGTGCCTCACTGTTGACATTGTTGGCTCCTTTCCTCGCCTGTGTTTGGTATGGTGTCACCAAAAAACTCCCACATGATAATGTAGAGAGGCACCTGCTCGTGAACACGCAGACGCTCGGTGATAATGAGCGTCCGACTAGAGGGAAGGGGAAGGAAAATATGGGCTGGTGCATTTGTGTGTGTGCTTCTACTACTTCCGTGTGCCACGGAGGAGGGGCGCTCGTGAGGTTTCCTCGTGGCTCTCAGCCTGTGAACACTCACCTCGTGGGGGGTTCACAGTCCGTGCAATGTTGTTTTTTTTGTTCCACTGTTCACGTGCCTTTTCAAGTAAGTCGTTAGCCGGTGTATCAGACGCACATTACACTTTTGTCTGTCTGTGCGCTCTTACATATCTGCACACCCCTCTGATTACGTACGAGGAGGAAGAAAACTAAAGGGAGGAAGGGGGAGAGCGAACAAAAAGTAGTTTGGCCAAAACGGGAGGAAACGTACAAACAAGCAAGCACGCATGTCGTTTCCGTTTGCCGAGTCGGGGTTTGCTTCCTCCGACGGCGCGTACCGCGGTGCAGATGCGGCAGACACTTCTGCTGCCGCCGCCGCCATTCTGCGCACTGCGGTGCCGCCGTTGCTGGACGCTGGCAGCAAGTCACGTGTCTGCGTGGCCTTCTACGAGGCTGCGCGGTGCCCCTTTAGCAACCGCTGCGAGCACGCCCACCACTTCTCGGAGCTTAACAGCTACACACAAAACAAACTACTCGAGATGGTGCGGGTGGAAAACATTCCGAAGCACTTCATGGCGTCGCGGAACCACGGGGCAGACGACAGTGGCAGCAGGAAGGACACCAGCAAGCACGGGTCCGCGGCATTGTTTCACACGTCGTACACGACGGAGGACAACACCGTTCATGCCACTTCTGCCGCGACTGCCGCCGTGGACGGTGGTGTTGCCCATCGATCGCTGGGGGGGGCGAGTGAGAGGAAGAAGGCGAGCAGCCATCGTCGCGGTAAGCGAGCGTCCCGGCCTCACGACATGAGCAGCAGCAACACAAATTTGTGTGACAACTCCGTGTCGAGCCTCGCCTCCAGCACCGACACATTTTTTCTTCTTAGCAGCGTTCAAGGGTCAAAGGAGACCTCGCCACAAAAGGGGATGAATCGTGAGGGCATGGAGACGTTTCGCATTCGCTTGCCACCGCGTTGCCGCTACCCGCACCGAGTCACTCGTGGTACGTACTACGATGTCCTTGGTGTTCAACGCACTGCGACGCAGGAGGAAATCATTGCGAGCTACCGCCGCTGGCAAAAGGAGTATAAACGCCTGAAGCAGGTCGACCAGCAAAACGCAGACGCTCATGACACCATCGTTGTCGAGGCCCGCAACGTTCTTGGTCACCCAGTGCTGCGCAGCGAGTACGACCGCACCCTTCCCATGCTCTGGAGTAGCAACGCCAACTGCAGTAGGGAGATGGCGCGCGGTGCAGCGACCCTGTCCCCAACGAACTCCTCGCGCTCAAACAACATGGAGGCCACCGGCCTCAGCATGCGCTTAGCGAAAGACATTTCCGGCGCCGAGACGGTCTCATTTACGCATTCAGGGCTCGCAGACGACAGCATCTGGTGAGCGTTGCAAGAACGGTAAGGAAGATTACTGAAGGAATAACATATTTCCAAGCAAAAAGACAAAACCACGCAAAACAAAAAAAAACGTTGAGGGAAATTTAGAATAAATTAAGGCGATGAATTTTATAGGCACTATTATTGCCCATGTGTATGTGGGCGTGTTGCGGTCATGTTTTCTTTTTTTTTTTTTTTTTTTTTGTTATGTGTTAC